TAACTTACTGTACGGTATGGGTTTTGCTCATTGTTGAAGGCCGTACGATGGTCTACGATGGTCTACGATTTCTAACATCTACCTTATTTGGTCTCTTTGGATAATTGGCTCATTGGTTATCATACCATATCTTCTTATTTTTATATTGTTGATAAGTTCAATAAGGCAAATTAATTTGACCGTAGATGGATTTACCTTTTATTTTCTGGTCATATATAGGTCTTCACATATTACACTTCTTATACATCCTTGGCTTTTAGATATTTGGTTTTTAGCATTCCTGATGAAGGTTAATCAAGAAAAATGCTGCAGATGACACTACCACATGTTTTTAAATTTTAATATGTTTAAATGTTAGCTATTGACTGGACCAGTTGTTTTCATACAATTTTGCAGCATTATAGCGTTTTGGAAATATGTACTTACTTAATTATTAATGTACTCGGATGGACTGGTGTTGCTATCGAAGACGTTGAGAAAATCGAAAATTCAAAATATACACCCGAGAACAATATTTCATTATATAGATATAGGAAGATGTGGTATGAGTGCCAATGAGACAACTCTCCATCCAAGTAACAATTTATAAAAGTAAACCATTATTGGTCAAGGTACGGCCTTCAACACGAAGCCTCGGCTCACACCGAACAGCAAGCTATAAAGGGCCCCAAAAATTACTAGTGTAAAACCATTCAAACGGGAAAACCAGCGGTCTAATCTATATAAAAACGAGAAACGAGAAACACGTATGAACTACATAAACAGACGACAACTACTGTACATCAAGATTCCTATTTGTAAATTGAACAGAAATAAATGGAGAATGTGTCTATGGGCCACAGATGCCCCCGCTTGTAAATAAGCATGAGTCAACTTCCACATACAGATGCAGGATTCACGTAGTTAGACCTTTTTGTGATTATAAGCATTGTGTATAAGTTTCATAATATTTGGTTGAGGCAAACTAAAGTTAGAGAACGGAAACGAAAAGTTCAGCAATTTTTATGTTTATAAAGGGGCATAACTCAAGAATTGTAAAAGTGACGACACCCAATTTCGAACTTGATGTGTGTTTTGTGGTAATAAGCAATGCGTATTAGTGTTATAACATTTGGTTGAGGCAAACAATTTTGGGGACATACAGACGGACGGACGAGACGGACAAAGGAAACACTTAATGCCCCCTTCGCTACGGTGGGGGCATATAAAATCCCAAGGTCTGAAGTGCTTTTATTATACATACATCGTGTCCGTCAAATCATTTTTTTAAACGCAGTCCGAATATGGAGCAAGTAGGAGCGGATTGAGATAAGTCAAACAGATCATATAGTTCAAATAAAAGTATGTGTTTGTACATTTGCATGTAAAACTTTAGTAAATACCTAATATTTATATAATAAATCTTAGGGATTTAGTATTTTAACCATCTCTGTGCCATGTGCCACTTTTGGGGTTTTTTTTTGTTTCTTACTACGTTCTGTGCCACGAGGCCACTTTTTGGCCATTGTTTTTTTTGCGTTTTTTTTTTTAACCCAGATGCTATGAAATGTACTATGACGTATAACGTCATTGTCAGTGCTTCTTTGAAATGCACAAAGCGCGCCAAATTCTTTAAATATTCAATAATTTTAAAAAGGTGCGTATAAATCATAATTTTCTTACTAAATACCTGATAAATAGTTATCCATAAGGTAATAAATTTTTCTGATAAATCCATTTATGCTGTACGTCTCTTGTACATATATTTTTTTTCAAACTTGAGTTAAGCTATGTTTCAGTTTGCTTTCATTATATCTAACATCTTTTATTTTTTTTCTTTACCAATTCAGGACTAAGGAATTTATTTGCCAATCGTTGAATGTTGTAGACATCATTTTTGACAGTTACCTTTGAATTTCTCGAACACATTCTTGAACTGATTTTAAAACTGTTTCTTTCAAAAATAATCGGGAACATATTTGTTTTTTAAAGTGTTAGGTTAAACGTACATTTCGGACGAGAATATGATATTTGAGATTTGAATATTTACCCAGCTTTGTACTTGACGTGTCGGTTTATTTAACGTGATAGTTATTTAACACATTATTCAAATTTCTGATTCCAGTCTTTTCTGTAACTCATCAATACCGCGTGCTTAGCGAAAAAGCAGAAAATACCAATTTTCAAGTTCGAACTCACGACCTCGTTTAGAAAAATCAGTGCCATACCATTTTGAATAATTTGGTTAAATCTATCAACTTATTCTATATAGAAATACATGCAACGGCAGGCACATGTGGAGCAGTGTCTGGTTTCCTCTCTGGTTATTTGGTAGGGCTTTTGCTACTCATGCAGTCTTCAGTTTTTATGTTGTTTTTGTAGACTAATTGTTTGCCTTTTTATCGTTTTTCATTTTTTGTCATGGCGTTGCCAGTTTATCTTCAACTTATATCAGTTTGATTTTCCCTTTGGTATTTTCAGCCATCCTTTAAAGAGGGGCGAAAGGACCTTTTTTCGGGACGTAGTGATAGGGCCTTTATTTTCGCGGGAATTCGGGATTTACACTTATCACAATTAATGATTTATTTTTCGGGATCAGGGAAAGAATGTTTTCTTTTTTCATGAATTTAAGGATGACACCCCTCCTACCGCCTCTCTTTGACAAATCAAAAGCATTGAAAATGATATATAATTATTTGACTGTATATATAGATATGACATTTATATAAATTTATTCTTCAATACACTCATGATTATTCCTGCAATCTTTGTGTAAGCCTTTATAACTTTTTCTGCACACGGTCTTTGACAATGAGGCCCGCCAAATGCTTTTCTATCCGAGCACACGCATCAATCCTTATACTTTGTAATTAATTATAATGATGTTGATGTTCCAACACCAGTATTCCCGAAAAAGTTAGATAAATTGGTCCACTTTAATTAAAAACAGATATTGCACTTACATTTTGCGCTATTAGTATATAACATACAAGAAATGAGAAACAATGTTCTTCTATTATAGAATTGATACTGTTTTATAAAATGTATACGGAATGCATGCAAAATTTTCGACGATCATATTTTGCATAAACCGCAGAAGCGCTTTTTGCTATTAAAAAATTATCGTCACTTGCATTCATTTCGTATAATTATATAAAAACCACAACACTCAAGCCTTTATTTACAGATATTCCAATATTAATACAAAAGATAAATTTTCGCAATATAAATGGTCAAGTATTTGTATATTTATTTATTAGTACATATACATTGATATCAAATCGAGTGGACCGCCCGTAATCGATTATAATCAAACCTGTATGGTGGTTCCAGTGACTGTCTATCAAGAAAATAAAATTAAACTGTTTCGTTTTTTGTTTTGCTTTTTTGGAGGGGTGATTTATTAACATTTATTATATGTTTCCTTAAACTGACTATACAGTTTGCATGTCATATCGTTTTTTAAATAATTGGGTTTTTTTTCGGGAGACGGATTTGTAAAAGTTTTTCATAACTTACTGTTCTAATTTTGAAATTGAAAAAATTGAAGCCATTGCAAAGAAGAACCAAACATTTGCATAGTGCAATGAATAATGTCAAAAAAAGTTATCTTAATACATGATTGTTTATAAGTGGTGATATTAAGAGCAAGATTTGTACTCCTTATTTTTTGTAAACTTGGTACTTTATAAGACTACATTCATTTGTAAGAACAAAAAAGTGTCCGAGTGGTCTTCATTGTCCTCTTTTATCCTATTGCTGGTGACAGAGTAATATGATCATCGAAACCTCCTTGTATCCGTACTATAACAAAAACAGCATTTAATTCAGCTTTAAAATAACCTTGTCGGATCTTCCTAAGTTACATCTTCAAAGAAGTAGGTGTAATGAAATTTAATAACAAATTCTTAATTTATGGAAAGATGAAAAATGTATGATTATAAAAAAAAAAATACGTGATTTCTATAATTTCAACAAAAGAACAGAGTTCCAATGTACTCCGCGTTGCACATATTTTATCTGTTCTGTCTAAGGGCAAAAACAAACAAAAAAATGTTTTTTTGTTCTTTTAAAACTTTTAAAAATTATCTTACTATAGAGACTTGAGAGCAATTTCCGATATATTTAATATTCCCAAGAGAAACTCTTTAAAAATATTTGATCGGCACTGATTTTCGAAATTGTCCGAGACATTTCTGTTATATACCTTTGGTATGAATTTGATACAAATCTGGCAAAAATTGTACATGTGAGAGCACTTACAATGCAAATTTCAATATAATTGATACTTCTAACTCTGTTAAAATAGTTGATCGGCACTGTTTTTTGAAGTCGTCTGAGACATTACTGATATAAACATACAATATAAGTATCATTAAAACCTAGCAAGAATTGTACACATGGGAGCGCTAACAATGCAATTTTCCATATAATTAATGTTTCCAAGGGCATAACTCTTTAAAAAATAGTTAATCAGCACTGATTTTCGAACTCGTCCGAGACATTGCTGATATAGACCTACAATAAAAGTTTCATAAAAATCTGGCAATAATTGTACACGTGACAGCGCTAACGATGCAATTTTCCATATAATTAATGTTTCCAAGGGGCATAACTCATTTAAAAATAGTTGATCGGCACTGATTTTCGAACTTGTCCGAGACACTGCTGATATAAACCTACAATATAAGTTTCATAAAAACCTGGCAAGAATTGTACAGTCATGTGAGAGCGCTAACGATGCAATTTTTTATATAATTAATGTTTCCAAGGGCATAACTCTTTTACAAATAGATGATCGACACTGATTTTCAAACTCGTTTGAGACATTGCTAATATATACCTTCAATATAAGATTTATAAAAATTTGGCAAGAATTGTACATGTGAGAGCGCTAACAATACCGGACGGACGGACGGACAGATGGACGCCCGGTCATGATTTCTATATCCTCCGCAACAATAAATTAAAAATTGCTGAGGTCAGGTAAGCTATTTGGAAATAAAATTCAACATACTGACCTTTTTCAGTGGCTGTTTTAACCTCGGATTTCAGTTGCTCCATCTCTCCCTCGAGCTTATTGCCCAGTATGGTCTGTTTTTTCTCCATTTTCACTTCTAGTTCAGCTGAAATAAGTTGGTTTACATTTGAATTGAAGAATCTTATATTCGTAGACAAAAAGAAAATACATGGGGAGGAGAAGATATCAAATGTAGCGGGCAATCAAAACCACAAAAAAGACAGACAACTCAAAATTCTACACCTAGAGAAAAGGGAAGAAGAGAAAAAAAAAGCAACAATCCCCAAAACACTAAACAGACAACACATGTGTCTCGAATGGATAGGTTAAAAACTAAAAACATTTATCTCTTTTTATCTATGACATATTTATGTTTGTTTTTAATTTCCTATCATTAATGAATTGAAGACGATATTTTTTATTGATATATTAAGCAAATGTGACAACAATCCAGCGACAAAATAAGTAAAATCTAAAATAGCAATGTATTATCATTTTCCTCTTACCTTCCATTTCCTTTCGAAATGTTGACATTGTGATATTACTAGAACTCTGCAATCTGTCCACAGCAGTCTGAAATCTCATATCAGCAATATTTTCCACGACGTCATTCACTGCTTTAGAAACAGCCTGTTTCACCTCTTTCCTTATAAGTTCCTTAATTTGTACTGTTAGACTTGTAATATCTAACTCGGCTTTAAGGGGTGCATTGAGTTTTGTTATCAAGGGTATGTCAATTACTGTTTCACAGTTGTCATGACCACAAGTATTTGCACACACGTTTTCAACCAGAAAAAGAGCGAAGAGAACGATTGCATATCCTCTCAACATTTTGAAAATCTTTTTGAAATGAAACTGTGTCTGGAGAAGATCCCTGTTTTATATCTGAAATCTTACAATTATTTTTTATAAAACACATGAGGGTCCGGATGGGAAATCTTCAGTTCTGTATTAATAATATCTAGGCGTTTTTCTCCATTCTCTTAGGATTGTTTTGTTGGCCCATTATTCTCTATTCTTTGTATTTGATCACTCCCAAGGGCGTAGCTAGCCTAGTATTTAAGTGTAGGCACCATTCGTCGATCGGAGCGAGGCGAAAATAATTTGGACCATTTATGCAGAAAATAATTGTCGATATGTACGCTAGATACACTTACTGGAAATGTGAATACATTTCGTCTAGTGAATCTTTTAGTGTTATATTTCCGCTTTTAATAAAAATGGAGATATCTATATTTTTGAGATCCAAGTGCAAAGGTCTATCTTCCTACACAACTGTAATACGAGATTTATACACCCTTAGAGTTTTTGTCAGCACTACTCTGTTCTATCACCACACTCCAAATGGATTATAATGGCTTATTCATCTAACTTAGTTAGTTCAGATAAAATATTTTTATAGTGTTGTATCTCCACCATTTCTCGGTATTTTTGCTGTTAAATAATTGTTATCAAAATTATCTTAGTAGTACTATGAATATAAATGGTTTGCATGGTTTGAACTCAATCCATGAGCAATTCTTAGCAAATCCAGCAGCACAGAATTGATAATATTACAAAGTCAAACAATCCATGTTCTACCTCCTATGGAAATGTAGAGATAAATTTCTATAACTACATTGTTTGTAGTGAAATGTTCTATATCTAAAAAAGGGGATGCTTTATCTATTTAAGTTGCTTGTCTATTAAAAAAAACCCCAATCAAACAAAGAGTTACTCTGCATATACATAAATTCGATTCCTATATAAATTTTGAAGCTCTGATAACTTTTTATATCTCAGTCAAATATTTATGATATTGAGCTTTTAAACTTCAATTAAATTTTTGACCACTATTACCAAATGGGAAATACGTCATTATTGGATTCACACGACGATTTGTAGATCATACTTTTAGTATATATAAATATATTACCTGTGACCGCTAGTAACAGCAATGGACAAATGATTGAAGACTCTTACGTAAAAGGCCTTAGGCATTCTTCAAATTTTGTTTTGTTATCATGACAATGGTTGTTTGACAAAGATGTGCAACTAAACGGATTTCTAAAGAAAATAACAAGAAGAGTTTAGCAGTAAATCAATTGAGAAAAAAATGTTTTCATTTTAATCGACGCATATTCAAATTATGTGTGCAGGTCAGATTCTGTGACCAGTTTAATGGAATATGATTGATACTTACATTGTTTAGAAAAAAATGCCCATCATATTTAAAACCTAGCGCCTGTCTTCTGTGTAGAATGTTAAAGTGTTAGATCGGGAACCTCTATAATTGGCAAATACATGTATAGGCACGTGCCTAGTCGAGTTTAGGTAGCTACGCCACTGACTCCACTTTTTTCTTATCTCTATTCTTTTTCTTTGTGCCTTCTTTTCTCTATTCTTTAACTTTTGATCATTACCGGTATTCTCTATTCTGTAAACCCCATTCATACCCTCTGACACGTATATGTTAATGTCTGTTAAACCAGTAATAACGTTAAGATCATCTGTTTTTCTTTTTGCAGAATAAACGGAAGAAATAATTTAATCTGATCATGCACATAACCTATGCATAAACCAAAACATGGTTTTTATAACATAACATCAAAACAATTTAATTAGTACGGAAATTCGTGTAGGTGGCCTTTGAATAAAAATGTATTTCTGAACTTGTGACCTACGAATAGTTCAATCTTCTAAATTACTATTGAGTTTTCCAATAATAGATGCCGGTCGATTAATTCCTTCTTAAGACCTCTTGATGAAAAGACAGGTCTTAAAATAATTATACAATATCATATTCTGTCAATCTTATTATTGAATATAATTATATCTGTTATTTCGCTATACTTTTACCTTTGACGATTAACCGATGAAGAGAGGTCTTAGTTTTATTTAGATAGGACGAACATGACAATCTTATCATTTTGGTAATCACAAAATCCAAGAAACTTTCAAATCTGTTATTTTGCTATACTTTTAAGCTTCTGTTTCATTTTGTGTCCATGTGTTAAATCTTTTCTGAAATCTAAATTCTTCCTATTTTAACCAACCAGGAGTACACAATCACATATTATAAAAAAAAAATTGACGAGATTTAAAAGGGATTTGAAAGGACGTTATCACAAACTGCATTGGAACTCATCGATTTGAATGTTATACTGTCGAAATGTATTGGGCTTAATCTAAATTTGTCCTCGTCTGAATATACGTGAAATATTTGCAACTGGACGTTAAGCAAATCACAACCAACGAATTATGTTTTCCTTCGTGAAATAAATACGAAAATAAAGAAAACAATAAATGGAAATATATTCAAGGTATGTGTCAGAAGAAAATACTTTTACACTATAATCAATAATTACCATGATCATTGATGAGTTTATAATGACGTATTTGTTGATGGAATTTTTAATTCACATGTGACGTAGCTATCTTAATGACGTATCTGACGATATGCTGGTTGACCAGTGAGGTGATTCCTTTAAATCTTGCGAAAAGGTCCTTGTATTAACAGAACGTCATATATGTTCTTTTTAATATTATTCAAATTCATTGGATTTCTGTAGTAATCGTTGGTACTAAGGTGGGACATTCTAGTCAGGAATAAACTACATTTAGAAATGTAATTATAATTAAAATGTTTGTCTGACGAAGGACTTTCTGGATAGAATCTTATTGCAAAGGTACATTTACTGATTTAGCTTTCAGATATTTTACGTCATATATACATGCATCATTTAACAGAAAGGCTAAAGTTGTGTTTTGTTTTTAATTTTACGTCTTCTTGCAAGTAGGATAAAAAAAAAAAAAAAAAAAAAATTATATTTCAGAAATCTTTCAAGTGAAAATCAGTAAAATTTATCTTTTTTAAGAATATATTTGAAAATCAGTCATATATATATATGACCTAAATATTATTTGGTTTACAATGACAAGATTCAAAACGGATTTGTAACTTGTTCGATCAAATTATTGAACTTAGATGATTTTTATTTTTCAAAGGGAGATCAAATGGTATGTGGCATGCTTTGGGTCTGTTTTTCTTTTCTGTTGATGGTAGGTTTTGAACGTTTGATGTCACCATAATCATGGCACCCTTCAAGCGTTGCCCCGAATTAAATATCGATTATTTTTTTAACAGACTCTGTACAGTGATCGTTTCCGTTCCGGAACTATTTTCCTTTACTCCATCAATCACTGCCACCGGCTTTCGAAATTCGTTCCAAAATTTGGAACGAATATCTACGCAAATAAATTTCCTCAGAAACATTAGTTACCGGCTTGAAAAACGTTAATTTTATAATGTCTTTTTAAAATTTAAACAACTTTTCCTAGATATAAAAAATGAGCATTAAATTTACGCACAACGACAGGACTTGTTTTTGTGGGTGTATCCATATCGACGTTATCCTCCCCAACTCTTACCAAAGTAAACATGGAGGGAAAAGTGAATCAGATAAAAATGAAATGTATGTTACTTAGGCGTAAGCCCAAATGAAAAATAAGCCGAAACGCTGCAACATTTACTGGACCAGGAACAACTGATTTAAAATTGATTTTGCGGTTGTCAACGGAGAAAGCTTAATTGGTGTACCAAATTCTGCAAGCCTTTCCTTTTCTCACACAACATTATGCACATACATGGAAACTTTTTACCCATTGTTACATTACTTCAGTAAATTGACCCTTCATAATATTTTGACGTTAAAAAAAAAAGCGGCCCAGGCCTGTGTTAACCTTGATCAAAATGGGCCAATGAGGGATCATATTTCTCTTAATAAAGTGAGGGACTGTCCGTCAGACCAATGAATTGTATATTTAAATGGAATGGAAACCCGGCCGACCTCAAAGAAAATTTTATGATGCATCTCTGTTTCGGGCGGTGCGTTAATTACACCCCATCGCCCTAACTGGCTCATTACTTATCTGGCAGCAGTTATCGAACTTAGTCATCTAATCATGAAATGAAACACGGAATTGTATATTTAAATACCGCGCTGAAGTACGTTCATTATTCATTTTTCATTATTCAAAATTCAATGATGAATAATGAAATAGTTCATTATTCATTATTCAATGTTAAGTGATGAATACTGAATAATGAAAAAGTTCATATTTCAGTATTCAAGCTGAAAAGTGTATAATGAAATCGAAAATTTATTTTTTGACTATGACACTATATCCCGTATTTCTGAATTTGTCCTTTTGATTTTATTTAACAAATATTCAAATTAATATAAGAAAAAATAAATCAAAGCACTCTTTGAAATTTTTATCTTTATTTATTTATTTAGTTTCGGAGGATAAACTAGTGGGTTTCCCTAACTATTTTTAACACAAATTCCTTGTTTTAATGTATGGACGACCTGAATACCAAAACATGTATAAAAGTCAAAATACTATACATTTTATTTTTTTTTTATTTTCACTGGATCTTTGCTATTCTTCATCCCCTGATTATAGATATAGCTTATCGATTGTGCCGCAATGCCAATTAGAGGGTTACGGAGGACCTAAATGCCAAAATACGCGTGAAAATTAAGAAATAGCCAATTTTGAATAATGAAATGGATATTTTGAATAATGGAATGGACTGCTGCGACCCTTCAGCCCCTAATTACAGATATACCTTATACGTCATTCGAAAGCTTATCAATAGAGGAACAAAAGTTATATAGTCAATATGTCCCGCAACGCATATTAGAGGAGTTTCGGAGGACCTAAATGTCAAAATACGCGTCAACAATAAGAAATAGCTTATTTTCAAAAATGGAATGGACTGCTACGACCCTTCAGCTCCTAATTACAGAGAAACCTTATATACCA